AGAGACAGCCCTCCTAAGTGTGATGGACAGTGAGGAGCAAGACCAGCTTTTCTGGCACAGTTGATATACAGCACCAGCTTAGTACAGTGCTAAGACATTAGCATTGCCCCCAGGTAACAGCCTAAAATGGAAGCATTGCATGGCTTCTGGTGGTTACACAGGCCACGGGTATCAAAACAGAGCCTGGCTGCATGACCACAGATATAGACATGTCCTAATGACAGCATATGTCCAGATGTCAACATGGCCTTATTTGGAACCATAGGCTACTCATATCAGTGTCTCTCTTCACAGTAGCACAGCTCTTAAACATCTACATAGTCTCAGATAGCAGCCCATACTACAGATGTAAGCATGACGTTTGTTGGCAACTTGGAGCACTAACAAAGGCACAGAGCCTGACTGCATTATGGTCTCAGACATGATCTTCAGTGGTAACCTGGGCCAAAGACCAGTTTTATGATCTTCCTACTGATTGATTAGACCAACACTAGGTGGCCCATAATGATCATAGGAATAGTTTCATACTTTTACTCCTGTTATCTGACTCATGTGAGGAAGGATGGGACAGGCTTCATCTTGAGGAAGTTTGCCTTAGTCACTAATGTTTCTGTGTGGGAGAAGATATTTTCCTGTTTAGCTTTCTAATCATAATCATATCAGTTCAATCAATACATTGGTTGTTAATGTTTGTGGAATCACCATCTAGATTTCCGTTTTGCCAGTGATTTGGACTTTTTCTGAAGTGTCTTTCTATGTTTCCCAGAATACAGAGTTGCCATCCTTTGTAGAGCCAGAATGATTACTAGTGATGTTGCTACTACCACAAATGAAAGCCCAGCCTTGAGATGCACAGCATTGTGTCATTCACTTCAGCTAATGAACATGTCCCTGCCTGGCTGAGGTGTTGTTTCTGTGAGGCATGCTTCTTTTACAACAACTTTCCAATATACCCACTTCACTGAGGTATGAGAACTGCATAAATGCTATGTAAATTTAATGTATATAAAACTGTGTTTCAGAATATCCTATAAAAATATCACCAATGGCCAATACCAGAGAGTCACCATTCTAACATTTGCAAATGTTTTCACAAGCCCTTTTAATACTGCTGTTATTTTGAATTTGTATTTTTACCTTTATGTTTATGTGATAAAAGTTTAAGAAATACCTGAAGGAACTGAAAGGTTTGAAACCCCATAGGAAGAAAAGCAATATCAACCAACCAGCCCCCACACCCAACCCCAAAGCTCCCAGTGACTAAACCACCAACCAAAGAGTACACATGAAGCAACTCGTGACTCCATTGCATATGTAGCAGAGGATGGCCTTCTCAGGCACCAATGGGAGGAGGGGCCCTTGGTCCTGTCAAGGCTTAGTGACCCAGTGTAGGGGAATGCCAGAGAGGGGGTGGTATTGAATGGGAGGGGGAGCACCCTCACAGATGCAAGGGAAGGGAGGATGGGATAGGGAGTTTCTGGAGGGGAAACTGGGAAAGGGGATAACCTATAAAATGTAAATAAATGTAAATGTAAATAAAGAAATGTTTTGCATAGTATCAGATAGGCACAAAATACTGCCAACTATCTCTTTCCTATTCTGGCTTTTCATATCAGGTCCATGTAGTATTAACTAGAAAGGAGCAAGATGCGTGATTGCTCATCTCCCTGTGAAATAACTGACTAAGGTTGTGTTTATCACTGTTTCCTCCAATCTATCTATACTATAGCACTTACAAATAGTGTTAGGGTTTCAAGTACTGCCTTTACATATTGACTATGTTTTAGCATTTTGTTTTGAGCATTCATCTACCAATACATTTTGTTCTTCCATTTTATCCCTGACACTGAAGCTATTCTTTGTGTCTTTTCAAACATAAAAATCATGCATAATTGTTTTTTCTACCTATACTCTTTGCATGCACCATGACTTTTGCATATTGCTACACAGGGTAGGTCTATGCTTCCTAGTCCAAAATAAAAGTTCTGCAGCAATCTTGCTTTGACTTTTTCAGTCTGTTAAGTTCATCTTCTCAATGATTTGCCCTGTTCAGTTCCTAAGGCTCCTAATACTCTGCCTTCCTCGTTAGGCCATGAGAGAGATAAAGCTTATGAGTGGAGAGAGGACATGAGATCTAGGGTAGCTGAAGTCTATGTTCTTTCTGCCCATATGTAAAAGGGCAGTTCTTTTCTACCAGAATAGTCATGCGAGCTTTAGATCTGTGAAAGTTATATGTCAGGTGGGAGGGCATCTGTGATACTGGAAAGATTTTGACATAGATAGAACTGAAGGGGCTAGACTACATTATTTAAGAATCTGTCTCCTATATTCACATGTTTTGCAAAATTGTTTTTGGTATGCAGACAGAAAATTTATTGATAATATATTAAGATCTCACTTGAAACATAGGCTATGAAGTTAGTGTTAAATATTGTTCATGAATTTTCCACACAATTTTGTTCTTCTTATTGTTTCAGCTTCCATTAGTGATGTTATGATGACCTAGGTTCTCCTCTCTCTGGATATCACCAACAAAAGCCAGCCTCCATCTCCTGAAGATCTAGTCAGAGCCTTCTAGATAGTGATTTTAATTGGTAACCACAGGATCTAGCAAATCACCACATCTTACCTAATAAGATTACTTCATGAAATTTGGGTTTTCTGGCAGGTTCAGTGGCCAGTTTCACATGGGAGGAGACAGGGAAGATGTATAGAGGGTCAGGTAATTGAACAGAGGTGTGTACCAATGGGTGATGGGGAACTGGGGTTAGCCACCAGAAAATTCCAGATATCAGAAAAAAACAAGAGGCTCCCAGTACCCAACAGGGATGACATTAGGTGATATACCTAACAAAGGGGAGATAAAAACTGTAGAGATGATATCCAGAGGTTAGGCATGGCTCCCTTGTTGAGGGCCACCCATCAATCTCCAAAATTTTAACCCAGAATTGTTCCTGTCTAAAGGAAATACAAGAACAAAGAGTGAAGCAGAGACTGAAGGAAAGACCATCCTGAGACTGCCCCACCTGTGGATCAATCCCACATGAAGACACCCAACCCAGAAACTATTGCTGATGCCAAGAAGTTTTTGCTGACAGGAGCCTGATATAGCTTTCTCCTGAGACGCTCTGCCAGGGTCTGACCAATACAGATGTGGTTGTTTACAGCCAACCATTGGACTAAGCACAGGGACTCCAATGGTGGTGTTAGGGGAAGGACTGCATGAGCTGAAGGGGTTTACAACCTCTGAGGAAGAATAACATCAACCAAACATTTCGAGAGCTTCCAGAGACTAAACCACCTGCATTATATTTATTTACTGGCTTATATAAGGTGGTATCTAATGGTCAGCATAGTTGAAGCTACATGTAAGGGAGATTTTGTTCATAACCTAGAAACCAAGGCTCATATGACAAAAAAAAAAACCACACAAATTGGCTGAGCATATACTCTTGTAACTTGTTCACATAGCTCAATAGAATGTTAAAAGGTGGTTCTATAGGCCTTATATCTATCCATGTATCTGTTTTTAGTTGCTTATTGATACTGCATTTACCTATTTTGATTCTCAAATCTCATTAAAAGGCTCTTCATTATAAATACCTCATTAAATGGTATTAAGCAATACCATAAGGAAACAAAAAGAAATTATTGACCAAAATAGTCCATAAATCAACAGCTTTGAATCTATATAACCAGGTGGTGAACTAGAAACAAAATTAGCACTCCATCTTCTATATTATTTGAGTAGCAATTCATTTGCATATTAAAGAATGGAAACTTAGAAGACTACCAAGTAATCGATGTCTTTCTTCTTTTTCTTTTCACTATATGACTTAATAAGAATCCTTGACTTGTTAAAACTAAAATCTTGTTAATTCTCTCACTACCATTACTTCTAATATTGGATTTCCCCACATCCTGTTTTCTATACTGTTCTCAACTACAGCCCTGCCACATCACATGGAACTATTAATCATTTGTATAAGTCTCCCTGGGCTGATAGGGCAAGAGTTAGAAAGTCACAATTTTTTGTGCTTCAGAGAGCAAAGAGTATCAAGACCCAAGCCTTGGGTTTCTTGGACATATTTATAAAGAGTATGGGGTTGGCAGATGTGTTATGAATGAGTACTAAGAACCTCCTACTTCTTCTTTTTTTTAATTGTTTTTTTGAGACAGGGTTTCTCTATGTAGCACTGGCTGTCCTGGAACTCACTCTGTAGACCAGGCTGGCCAACTCAGAAATCCACCTGCCTCTGCCTCCCAAGTGCTGGGATTAAAGGCGTGTACCAACACTGCCTGGCTAACTTCCTACTTCTAATATCAACTTCCTTGAAATAGTAGACTAGTAGACTTCTAGCATTACTTCCCTCTGCATTGCCATGATGAAATAATTGGGAACAAAACATAAAAGGCAAATATTTATTTTAGCCCAAATTTGCAAAGTTTTCAGGCATTAATGAGAGGGAAGGCACTTGGGGTCACATTGGAATGTCTGAAAACAAGAGTTAAGTTTGCATTAGCCAGAAACAATATTTACCAAAGGGTATGTCTGCACTGAACTACTTATCCCTGCTTGGATACACAACTAAGGTTTCTAAAACTTATTAGAATAATACCCAAAGCTGATGTCAACTATATGAAACGGAAGTTTTAGGAGATACCACAGAATCATATAGCACACCACTAGATAATTAAGGTTCTATTATCCAGATACCAATTGCATGAATTAAAATATTCTTTCTGGAAGTATATTTAAAAGGATTTTTTTTTTTACTGTATGTATTGCAAGGATAGCACAGCTAGGATTACCCAAACAGAAGACCAACTCATTTTAAGAAAATTATGAAACATTTTTTCACATATTAAAAATCAGTCAGGCCACACTGACAGTTTTCTATAATCCTTTCAATGATCTTCAAAGCTCATGAGAGTATTATAACAAAATATAAGCAGGAACAGCTGAGGGAGCTCAGATTTACTCTGCTGAACAACTGGGAGGTTTTTGATATGACTTATATCACTGTGAGAGGATAACTTTGATCCTGTTGACAGTAGTAAGTGGCAATGTCTTCAGGCTGCAAGCTGCTGATGGTGAATGTAAACTCTGTCCCAGATCCACTGCCACTGAACCTTGATGAGACTCCTGTGTGCAAGTTGGATGCCTTATAAATCAATAGTTTAGGAGGATTCCCTGGTTTCTGCTGGTACCAGCCTAACCAAATATTAATGTTCTGACTGGCATGGCAAGAGATGGTAACTCTGTCTCCAAGAGATGCAGGCAGAGTGGATGGAGACTGGTTCAGCTGGATGTCACATCTCACACCTAAGGTTGGAAACATACAAAAAATACATAGTGTAAGATAACTTTCACAAAAGTCCAGATAGCATTTAATATACTGTTTTCCACTACTGCCTCACTCACCTGAAAAACAGAGCAGCAGCAGCCCCAGGAGCTCAGCAAGGACCTTCATGTTGATGCTGTATCTCACTAGAGTGACTTCTGCCGTTGTTATCAACACCTGCTGAAGAAATCATAGATGTGGGCTGTGCTCTGGCCACATGCAAATCAGCAGCAGTATGCATGACTTGAGCCACCTGCAGTATTATCTGGGCTCATCATATGGACTCAGCATAAGCACAAGAACATTAAGAAATCCAAATCCTTGGCAGGGAGGAGCAGAGCATGTCTGCCTTCAGATAACATTTTTTTTTTTTTTTTGAAAGAGGGGAGAGGTCAAACAACAGATTCAGTGGGAAAATAAATGTTCCTTTTTTTTTTATCACTCCCTGTTATTCTTTAAGCTCTTTCTGAGGGTACATTCCTATTAAGGATGGCAAGTGATTTCCTGAAATAATCCCAGAAATTAAAGAAGCCTTATACATTTATGTACATTTAAAAAGAAAATTCTAAACTTTGCCATAAGTATTTGAAGTTAAATAATAATGCACACCAAAATTAACCAGAGCTGAAGTTTATAGAACTCAATGAACCTCTGTAGAGTTAGAGTGAAAGCAGAGCTTTGTATTAGATTTTACACTTTCATATGTATTTTGTATACATATTGATCACCTAAATGAAAAAGTCTATTATAGAATTTTTAAAATAATTAGCTTTTCACCCTTATTAATCAATTATGTCCATTTCAATTGTTTCATTTTAGACTATTAACATACAGTTGAAAATATATATACTCTTGGCTATGATACCATAATGCTCTTGGAGTGAACATGAAGAATATTTAAAATTATTTTTGAGTCATGACTCTATGGAAAGATTTGTCTTCCATCTTCATCTAAGTAATTTGTGCTCCTTCACTTATCTGTGTTCTACCAAGTTACATTAATCAAAGCCATCGAACATCAGGAGTCTATACAGATCCCTGAACTCCCTTCTTTGGTCAGTGTTCATTGTACATATTTCATGATATTTCATGGATATTTCAGGATACTATCCCTATCTTTCTGTCCTGTCTTCAAATAATTTATCATTTTTCAAAACAGGAGATTCACTCCCTAAAAAATGTTCATTTTAGTGTCAACTGTTCTATGTTGACTGTCATATGCTTTTTTTCATGGATGAATTTAAGTCAGTTGAAAAGATGTGAAAGATGAACATTAGGGCATCTCAGACAGAACAGAGTCACTAAAGTGAATGTTCAAGATGACCTACCAAGAGATTTGACATGATTCTTCTTCATACAGGGTTCTAGGAAAGAAGCTTCCTCAGAGTAATAAGCAGTTAAAGTCCCCCTTTTTGTATATATTTACCATGCTATAGTCTTACTTTACTTACTTTTCTTGTTGCTGTGACAGAAGCAACATAAAAGTTTATTCTGGCTCACAATCCAAAAATGCAGTTCAAAGGCTGATTTCTAGAGGACCTATATTTAATTATCTGCTCTTACATGGAGGCTTGCACACTGTGTAGTGCAGGACTAATCAATCTGATGTCCTTTTCTCAACATTAAATGTATCAACCACACATGTAGTATACACAGGCAAAACACCTGTACACACAATTTTTTAAAAGAAAATTTTATCATTGCAAGGATTCAACATCTATAGGAACTTGCAAAAGCTGCTCTACACTCAAGATGCAGGGAGCAAAGCAATGAGGAAACAAAAGTCTTAGGTGCCTTGCTCCATTGTTTAGAATTCTGCCTAAGAAATATCCATATACACAAATAAACCACTAGCAAGAAGGGGGAATAATAAAACCCTATAATTTCATGAGAATCTATTGACAGTTAATGATTACTAGGGGTGGCAGAAGTCATAACCTCCTGAGGTATGGCTGCTAGTAAAGTACTCATACTTAAGTAAATATATAACTGACCTGTGCTTATAGGAAACTCTAGCTAAAGGTTCTTGGCTCTACGTAAAGAAATGAGAAAGGTACAGAAATGGAAAAAAATGTCTGGAAGACAAAACAGAATGTTACTCAGAAGAGCAAGGAGGGATAATAGAAAAAAATCATAGAGGATATAATATGATCAAACTCTCTCTCTCTCTCTCTCTCTCTCTCTCTCTCTGCATGTGTGTGTTTATGTGTGTGCTTGTCTGTGTGTGTGTGACAGAAGATAACTTTCTGTTTTTTATTAGAGCAAGAACTCCATTATTTCTACTCCTGTGCTGGGTATTCTTACTCTATATTAGTTGTTCTGAAAGTTTTCACTGGTTGTTCCCTATTTCCTTTCTATTTCTCCTTAGAGATACCCAGATGAGCATTGGTGCATCTTGCTTTTTAAGTGGGTTCTGTGGAAGAAATTAATCAGTCTCAGTTCTTTTGGCAGGTTTAATTGTATGTCATGCCTTCAGGCTTGCCATGTATGTATTTTTACTGAGCTCCGGCAGTCACAGATATTTGGTAGTAAATTACCATTGAGAATGTTGTGTAGACAATGACCATAATTATGAGAGTCTCTTAGAAAACCAGAACTCATCTTTTCCTCAATGTGCCAGTTGTTTTCATATAGAATTCTGATATTTAAACTCATTGAACGCCTAAAGGAGGTACTTTCAATGGAGCTTGCCTCCAGCAAGAAAAAGAAAAACCAGTAGTCAAGATTTCCGAAGTCACTGACTACATCTACTTCTTCTACCTTGTCATGTAGATAAAAAAATCCTTTAGCCCACTATAAAATTGGCTTGGATGACTCTGTATTCTCTTTAAAAGAACAGAAGTAAAAGAATCAGATTTTATGAATTGGAGATTTAATGCTGTTGAGATTGCTTGGTTTATAAAGTACTTAGCACCCAGAATCCTTATGACCTGATTTTGATGTTCAGATTACAGTGAGAGAAGAAAAGAGCTTCTCAAAATTTGCTCATGTATACTGTGAAGTAGGCACACAACATTCACAAACCATACATATACATAAGAAGCAGAATATAAATAGATAAAGCTTGATCCAAATTCATGACAGAAGAGACATCTGTTTCTGTTAATGACTTGGGTAAAGGGCTATAGCCTTTTAGGTAGCCAAGGCCAGCAAGAACATAGTCCTGGTCTCAGGTATTTCTGTGGGTTTAAAAACAGGCAAGAGATTGGATCCTTATAATTGCACCAGCAAGAATCTTGTTGGAGATAAGCCAACAGAGTCTTCTACATCTAAACTATTGGTTCCTAGATGGGCCATTTCTACCTGAATTAAAAGAGCTTTCTCTTCCAAGTGGCATAAAATGTGGGTTTATAATCTATCAGTGTTTATGCTATCTTCATAGCAAAGAGCAAAAGAATACAGTATATAATTAATTCTTCGTGCTGTGTGCCTCATCAATCTCCACCTAACACTGGAGTCTTTAAGGCTTCCTAGAGAAAAACTAGTCTTTTAGCTCACTTTGGAAATAGAAAGAATCCAGATTCTGATGTTACAGAAGGAAGATTACAGCAGTATTAATGGCAGGAACATCAAGTTGTAGATGAGCCTGAGTTCAGCATCAAGACAAAAATATAGTAGATAATGGATTCAACAGCAAGATGAGGACAGAGTAGATAATGAACCAAATAGGAGGCTAATAATAAAGTAGATGATGAATTTACCAGAATGAAGAGTACATGGCTGATGATGAACTCAGGAGAAAGGGTCAAGAGCAAGTAGAAAATCAAGGAAAGTTTTTCCTGTAGACTTTATTTTATATTTTATTTTATTTTATTTTTATGTTTAGAACATTAGAAGTGGGTGCCTCCAATGTATAACATGAGTCTTCCCACTTCAGTTAATCTAATCAAAAGAATTCTTCACAAGAATGCACAGAAATTCACAATATCTGTAAATATTATAGATCCTGCAAAGTTGATAATCATTAGTAACAATCATAGAAATGAATCACTGAAAACTAGGCATCTTACAGAAGTATGGCACCAACTAGCTAGGCCACCATAATATATCCAGTGTACAAATGCCTTGCTGTTTGCTTGGAATATACAAATCAGGTCAACATTTTTATTACTTCCTGAAGTTAGAAAATTATGGATTTGGATTCTTTCTGTCATCTTGAATAACTTGAAGAAGCCCTATGACATTTTAATGTGAATTCTGATATTCGGAAATGTGTTGTTTGAATGGAAATGTACCACTTGAATTGATAGAGCAGAAATAAGAACCTGATGCAAAGGCAGAGAGGGAAGGCATTCTGTCCCTTAAAGGTCTGTAGTAACATCTTTTAAATATTTTGTATCAAGTTTTTCATGACACATGGAACATTTTATAAGGGTGGCCATCACCAGAGATTTCAGGTTTTTTTGACTTTCGTTGGATCTTTGTAATCTGTGTAGTGAGTGTCTTGGGTCAGATAACATAGAAGCTGAGTGGTGGAAAAGCAATCTTTTGTTGATTTCCATTTCAGAAAGACATATTGAATTTATACTATTGCACTGGACAATGAAGGAGGGAGGCAGTGTAATGAGAAGGAATAAAATAAAAGTGGGTGTGTTTGTAGTAATGCATATTTTCCTCTGATTTTCATCTCAGGTGAGGTCAATTAGAGCTTGTAAAGGTTGGACTGATTTAAAATAAGGTAGGTCTGCTATGGGGAAGAGGCAGAGGGAATGTGTGCATTTAATATTATCATTCTGCTTCTTTTTCTTTTTATTTTTTATGCTATGAGTCATCTCTGTGATAAAAGGAACATATTGAAAATCAGACAAAATTGAATTCAAGTCTTAGCCTCAGTAAGATTCACTGGTCTTCCATATGCATGCTTTGGTGGTTTATTTCCTCTTTCATGAAAATTAATTCATACATATTAAAGGATATTCTTTCTATTTAGCCAGAAGGTCCACTATGATGCATATTTTTTACTACTTCTTTTAAACTTTGATGGCATTTATTTAAAATGTGTGCTCCATTAGAGCCAAAACTTCTCTCACGCATAATGTTGACACTTTTCTCTTGCTATTACTTGTTTATTGTTCATTATATTTCATGTGTTTGAGTGTTTATGTGGATATATGTCTGTTGTACCTGAACTCTAGTCACTTGTTTACAATACC